CTCTCTCACTCTCTCACTCATGTTTTACATCTCTCTCACCCCTCTCTCTCTTTCCTTCCTTTCTATGTGTGTGTGTGTGTGTGTGTGTGCGCGCGCGCGTGTTAATGGTGTGTTCAGAGCAGAGAGGTCGTGGATACTTTTCCCCCTCATACTTATGGTGTAAATGTCTCTTTCTGCCTTCCCGACCTCTCCCAACCCTTCTTTTTGTCTGTCATACCCCTTCCCCTTTCATTTTCTTTCTGAGCCTCGAGTTTCATCTTCCGAGCTGTGAGTTACACTGAGTGCTAGTTCTGTTCAACCTGTCCTGTGTTCTCCCACATCCCTCCGTTGTGACTCACTGGGTCTGCTGACTGCTGGCTCTCTATTTAATTTTTGCCTCCCTATTCTGCCCTGACTGACAAACATTGACAAAGCAGCCGGCTCCCCTTCACCCCCCTCCCTCCCTTTCTTTTTTCCTTCCCTTCTTTTCTCCCTAGCCTAGCCCCATTTCTCTTTGTGAAGGCAAAGAACGGTTAGCTGGTACCATGACCGCGAAGTGATTGTTGTTATTCCAAACTCGTCAGAGGGAGGGGCTTTCGAGACTATGGAATGGAGGGGTGAGAACTGTCGTTAATAATAACCTAAATGAATCTTGGCTATTCCTGGGGACCAGAATTTGAAGCCTGTCTTGGTTATGAGGTCATGTTCTCGTACTTTGAGGAATCACAATACGTTTTTGCCAGCGGGAGTTCTCCTTCCTTTTGACTGATGCAAACACGTGCCCTGTCCCTATGTCTAGTCTTATGTAGTATTTTTAAAAAGTCAAGTGTGCATAGAATTGGCTATTTCAGCTCCACCGTCAAGGCTTATATTATTGTTGCTATTTAATGTCTGCTCCTTCAATTTGCATGGTCCGTTGTTTGTTTCGGTGGGTTTTAAATGGTTGTTGTAGTTTGTCTAATTTGCCTTAGGTTCTGTGTCTTGGAGTAAAGGGTTTGCAGGTGCCTCACTTGGCTGTCGTTAATGCTTCTTTTCGGAATAACCGTCGGAGCCTCCTTGAACAATGGCTATTCAAATTTACATAGCTCTGTTGGAGATCTGGCGTCTTGGAATGTTGAAAGTGACATTAGAAATTGTTCAAAGGGGTGTTAGACCAGTGCCAATTTTGTTACCGGTACCGCGCTGTTGGATTGTCGC